ACAATATATATGTTGGGGTAGTAAGGGTGTCACAAAAGTCATTTTTCTATTAAAATGATTGCAAAAAGAAAAAACTTTTCTTCTTCATAATGATTTTAGTTCTTTTTCTACTGCTGCCATGGACTTAGAGCTTAAGATCCAAAACCAAAATATGTTTGAAAAGAAAGGATTTCCAGTTCTTAGTCTAATAAAGAAGAAGTAGACATCACCTAATTCTACTTCTCATGCTACTACTTTGGTGGTGCCCAAAGTAGATAACCATTATCTATTTAAGACTCTTTCTACTTTAGTTGTTACAATAACGCACCTAACCTTTAGTTTTTATTGTTTATTAGATACATCTCATGGTGTCTTATTTTCTATTTTTCATCTTAAGGGAAGTTCAAAATTTTATGAACTTAACTTGATTACTTCCTTTGAGACAAAATTAAATTATATGAGCCTTCTAAACTCTTCTTTACATCCTTTTCTATTTTTTATCTAACAAACGATATGATCAAGGGTTGTTTAGAACCTGAGTTTGTGGGAGATCACCTTGGAGATCCATGTTCTTCTTCTCGTGTTCATCAAGGTATAGGAAGAGTGAGAAATTTCGCTCTGCGCATTGGATAATTATTGGGTAGTGAGATTGACCTCCAATCTTCTTTTTGTGGTATGGGTTGTTTGAGGGGAAAATCCAAATTGTATCTATTTCTTGATTTTTATCTTCTACATGACTCTTCAACACTTTAATTGATGTTATTTTCGTTTACACATGACTAATTTTGAATATTGAATTAATCTTATGTCTATTGGATTGCCGGTGGGTTCCTATGGGAACTCAATATGTTTAAGTAAATTGTTTGAGTAGTTGTTAAAAGTGTGTAAGTATCGTGCCTTTGAGATATATAATTCGATTTGTGGGAGTGTTTCATCATTGGATTGGCGATTTGTACATGTGTTGTGAAATTCACGATTTTGTAGGTTGGGTTTTTTTTTATATGATGCCAGGTGCCATATTGGGCTCTTTGGGCATTATTGTGGTTGAAAGCAAAGTTTTCTCTTTATGTCACTCACACTAGACGTGAGTTGGTCCTCGTTGGGCATGGGAGCTCCAGGAGCTCCCTTTGGCTATCTTGTCCGGCGTGAGGTGGATTATGTCGGGTGTGGGTCATCCCAAGAGCTACTAGTGCTTTCTGGGAGTGCCACACCAAGTGCAAATTGGTTTTTGTTGGGTATCGTCACGTGTTTGGTACCTTTTTCTAATGTTAGTTAATGGTGAATGATATATATGACCTTTGTGATGATGATTGGCTATAATTGAGTATGATGGACTAAGTATGGATTGTCATGTTATGATGAATGAATGTTGCAAATGAAATGTGATTGACAAATCATTGTAAATGACAAATTATTGTGAGTATGCATATTGGTAACATGTTATTGCATCGAGTCTTGTTTGCACATGAATCATGTACAAATTGGCAAATTGTTATATGTGGATCTTGTGAAGGACATGCAAATCGACAAATTAATACATATATGTTTATATATATATATATATATA